CCCCAAAACCCCAAAACCCCAAAACCCCAAAACCCCAAAACCCCTATATTATTTCAGCTAATTGAAATATCAAAACTTAAATTTTATTACTGATTTCTTGTGTAAAAAGGCTCCAAGAAGCAATCTATCATGGCTAAAAAGGATTGAGACTACTGTAACTTACCAAACACATTCTTACGGCTCAATCTAAATCCTCTTGATGGGACATAGTGAAGGTTGAAAGGGTCAAGAACACCTATAACACATTCAGAAAGAGTCTTCCTGTTTGCTAAAGAGATACCAAACTTGCTGTCTTCAAGATTTGTCTTCAGTTCTTTTAGCCGTTGAATTTTCCCAATTCTTGTATTAACAACATCATGAATGAAGTCAAAGCCTCCTCCATTGAAATAGTAATGCATGAATCCTCTAAAGAGATCAAGTGATGTAGAATTGTTATAAAGATATCCTCCTTCTCTTTCTTGTCTCTTTTTCAACTGATAAGTGAATTTTGTTAAGATCTTCCTAGTATCAGTTTCAAAATCAACATCTATTGGGTAAAGCTTTACTTTTCTCTCATTGTCTCTTGCTCAAGAATACTTTGGGAAGAGGCCAGAGATCTTGTCTAAAGTATTACCATGCATACCTTACCATCTTGGAGAGTTTTCTCTCTAATGATTCTTGGGAGTACTGGAGGATCAACTACATCTTGCAAATACACAATCAGCATTCAAAGAACACTGAAGGAATTCAGCTTGTTCATCTTAGTGAATATTCTTTCTTGACTAATGAAATACTTAAGATACATGCCAACTTCATGAAATCTATAATCTACCTCTGCCAGAGTCCTGATATACTCGCTATTGACCATACCTGTGATATTATTAAAACAGATCTCAACCTCAAATCCACAGTAATCATCGCACATAAGCAAGCACACATTCTCTGTCTCTATCAAGTTCCATCAGCTTAATGTATCTTCGACTAATACTTTCTTCAAAAAGTGAGCGTACTCTGAAGGATGCTTGTCTTTCCATTTCTCAAGGATCAAAGTCAAGTCTATATATCGCTGATATTTTCGATACAGAAACCGTTCACTAAGGAGCCGTAAGGGGCGAGAGTGGCGTCAGGGTTCCAGCTTTGGACGAGATTAGTTAGGGTGGTGATTACTTGGAAAATTTCATGAATCTTTTGCTTGCTAGGTCCTTTAACCTCCTTCATCCCCTCACAGGTCAAATCCGGGAACAAAGTTCCTTTCATCAGCCCTTCTCCTTCCTTCCCTCTCACCCAAAAACTCGCTGGCCTCCCAATGAACAACTTCTTAGCCTCGCTGAACTCCTCAACGACATAGTCGTAATAAATCCCGTCCTTGTATTCCTTAAAGTTATCTTCAAGTTTGTTCACTATCTTCGTGACTTTCTTCAGTGACAAGTGCTTCACATAGACCAGGTAGGTTAGCAACTTCTTGATGGATAGATCTATAGAGGTAATGGGGTGGCTTACCTTCCTCGAATAGGTCCTTCTCAGGGCAGTCAGGGGGAGTATATGCGTACTTTTCAGCAAGTTTAGCAACTATCTTGGAAAATATGTCCTCGATCTCTAGGTAACCGGGGTCTGTATCTGGGATAGGGCTTGTGGAAGCGGTCTATGGGTTAGGCAAGAGCCTTACTGATTTTCGGACAAGTGATGTCATGTCTTTAGTCAAAAAATTAAGATAAACTTTTTAAATATTAATAATTATGAAATTGACAACTTCACCCAAATATATAGGGGTTTTGGGGTTTTGGGGTTTTGGGGTTTTGGGG